TTTGATTTCTTCATAAATCCCATTGTTTCTGTTTAGTGACATGCTACAGCCAAATTTCTGTGGCCTGAGTTAGCCCTGGTCAGTGTGGTGTAAAGGTCAGAGATACAGCAGGGACACAGATGTACAGTGACATCTCAGTCAGTGCTCATTGTTACATTTTTAGAGACTACATAGACCTTTTATGGAATAAAAAGCCCTGAAAATTCTGATAAGAAAAAAAAGATAGAACAAATAATAAAAATAACTATTTAGATTAAATTTTACATTGAGATTTGTAGACTTTCCTCAGGTTTTGCCGTTCGGGATTTTCTTTGTACGTGTAAGGAAAACAGCCCTTAGATTATCCTCACTTTTAACACAAGGGGAAAACATGACAGAGATTTGTGTCTCAGTGATAAAACTAGCAAAAATAGAACACTTATGATAACCCAGACTTTGAGAAACATCAGTAAAAAGCCCCCGGAGCTCTATGAACATGTTGCAGGCTGCACATGTCACATAACTACGGACTATGATTTCTTTGCCTGAGGCTCCCACATTTAACAAAGGGAAACACTGCTTTCAACAAAAGATGCTATTCTAGTTATGTGCCCTTTTACCCTGTCAGAGAAACAGCTGGTATCATAAAGTCACAGCTAATTTGTATCATATCTGTACTAACAGTCAGATTTAGTTTGTATCAAACTTTCAAAGTTGGACTTAATGCCAGTTGATGGATGACAGCTTTTCTTGCCTCCCCCTTCTCAAAGCATATTTAAACATTGCCTCCCACATAAAAAAAAAAAAAGCCCTCCCAATATTCAAAATACAGAGTCTTTAACATGTTCACATAACCAAAATACATGTTAAATATAAATCATTAAAACTAGCCAATTTAAAAAATCCTAAAGAAGGGTGAGAATACTATACCAGCAGTTCCGAAGTTCAGTGACAAATAAATAGTGCTTCAAGACAGACATGTGGGTACCAAGTGTAATGGAAAAGAATTTTCTCCTAAAAAGAGGAGCAGGAAAAAACCCCTGCCTCAGGTAATCTCTTGAAGTTTGGGTTATCTGTTCTCCAGATTCCAGTCTGCCTGCAGAGACTGTAAGCGTTTTTTTCAAGGTCAGCACTCAACAATTTAGGGAAGACCAATCTCACTTTTTATTTTAGGGGACCTGTTTCTCATTTAAGCTATTAAATGTCATCTACTTTCATTTTAAGGTCCCTGTAGCAGGATGCCTTAACTGTGTAAAGGGACTCCAGTGAAAGTGAGAGTCAGGCCAAAGACTCAACAGTTCCAAACCCACAGAGCTCACGTGAGAAAAAGTTGCAAAAAAAAAAATCAGTCTCTTGCTGGAAAACAGGCATGGGGAGCTTCCAGAGACTGGGAGTTCAAGCTCAGTTCATATCAACATCTAACAGTGATGGTGTGCTTCTGAGGCTACCCCAGCACAACACCTGAGTACACAACATGAGCTGGAGACAAGACACTCTTTTAAAATTTCAGCTATTTCTCACTTCCACATTATACAGAAATATTGGGCCAAGGCTCTTGCCTATCATGATCTGAAAGCATCACCAAACTGTAGGCAAGGAAACTCTGTGTAATGCTGCACAGTGTAATTATTACCAGGGCCTCTTTTAAAATTTCAGCTATTTCTCACTTCCACATTATACAGAAATATTGGGCCAAGGCTCTTGCCTATCATGATCTGAAAGCATCACCTGTAGGAAAGGAAAGTCTGTGTAATGCTGCACAGTGTAATCATTATCAGGGTTCTGAACAATTGGCCCCATTTATCAGAGGGAGATTGGTGTGGTCTGTGAAGTTACACACACCAAGCCAACAATGGCCCTGGGAAGTCCCAAGCAGCAGCGACAGAAATGCAGCTTTAAAGTGACAGGAGAGCTTACTGTGATGGAGCTGAGAAAGAGCAGTTGTCAATGAAGGCTGAAGAACCCCAGCTCCCAGCCCATCTTTCCCTCAGCACAGGCAGTGCCTGACTTGGAAGGGCAGTGTTGCACAGAGGACAAAGTCACAGCTTCTGCTGTGCCCAGACTGTGCTTGTCACAGCTCCCTGAGGGACTCCCTGTGAGCAGAGCCAAAGTGCAGCATGCTCCTGCCACCTCCTCTCCAGCGAGCTGCATCTGCTCCCTGCCTACTGAGAAGATGCAAATAATCAGCTCCACTCCCTTCACTCTGAGCACAGCAGTGATTCTGCCCTTGCACATGATCTTTCTGCTTGTTCAGAATTTTTTTAATATTTTTTGTTTTCGAATGTTTCTAAACTTCTGTCTGACAAGGCATGGTTTAGCAGAAGCAGATTTCTCTTCAGCTACCCAGTGTGTCCATTTTACAATTCCTAGGTGCTGTAATTTCTGGAAAAATTCATCCAAAACTTGGGATGAGTCACAACAGGTTTACTTGTTTGGGTTCACCCTTAAATGAAGAATAACTTTCTATATCTAGATGATGCTCTGGCTTGCTTTACAGCCATTCCAGACAGTTGTAACACCTCCTCAGCAACCCAAAACCCACCAGGCTCTCATCTCTCACAAAAGAGCTTTTCCCAAAAAGTGCCCCAGCTGTACTCAGAGGTCACTTGAGGTCTCAGAAGTTACAGGAAGACATGGGCAAGATTGACCTCTGCCCCTCCTTTTCCAAGAGTAGAGAGGATGGATGGGAGAAGGAAGACCCTATGTTCATCTAACTTTACCTCATAAAGCCATAGAAAATATCTTCAGAGACTCTACAAAAATGCTTTTCTCCTAAATGATTATTTAGGAGAAAAGCTGACTAAACCCATTCTTACACAATGTTTCCTAATGGCAAACATCTTTCAACAAAACAAACACTTCCAAGGAAAAATAAAAAGCAATCATCCCTATCCAGTGACTCTGAACCTTAACCTTTGAGGGTAGCACTTCTTCTTGGAAGTAATGGATATAAGCATGTCAGATTTCCTTCCAAAGTCAGGTTTGACTGTATTGCAGAACTAACTTAACAGGACTGTCATGATAATACTAAACTGTTGCCTTTTATATTCAGATAAAGAGATGTGGCTCATTTCCATTACAGAGATAAGACTGGTTGTTTAACTTTCCAAATGAGTGTATTGGTCCACAAGATTTGTTTCAATGATTTTCTAAAGGCAACTAATGGCCTATTCCATGGCATTTTCATTCACATCCCCTAAAACCCACCGCCCTCTTCAGCCAGATTTACCATGTGAAAGTGAGGGTTAAGTATGGAAAATATCAGATTTTGCCTTTACTTCCTTGTGACAGAATTCTTTTGTCACCTTGACAAGTGCTGAGCAAGAACAGAGGGACTTCAGGATGAGAGAGGTGACATTTACTCTGCACTTGGAGAAGATGACCGAGTCCCTGGAGGATGGATTTTCAGATGCAATTCATGAACTAAAATAAGGAACCAGCCCCAGCTCAGCCTCAGTTTTGAGGGACTGAAGTAAGTGCCTCCTTCAACACCACAGCCTACATGCTCAGACCTGTCTACAGATACTACTCCAACTGCTGAGGTATCAGAAACGCTCTGGGGGCAGTCACTGCTCTCTTTGAATATCCAATCCTTAGCACAGGGAAAAAGGACTCCCATTTACGACCCCACTTGCTTTTGGACAGTATGGCCTCCTTTGCCTGGATTCATACTTTTCAGGAATTTAAATACCTCATAAACGCACTACTTGTGGAAGCACGTGGGAACTTAAAGCTAGACATCTCATGGGAAGAAATGTTCCATGGGAAATTCCAGAACATTTTGGCTGGTCCTGAATCAAAAAGAAATCCTAATTTCGAAACATCAGCATTTCCTACAACTGGAAATACCAGATTGCATCTGGCTTCAGTTTTCAACACTCCCCACACCGAAGGCTCGAAAGTTTTAAACACTCCCCCCACCAAACACAGCACTGCAAAACAACAGCCAGGGCAGAGAACAGCCTGCAATGATTATCAGCCCATCCAGCACTTGCACAAACCTTCTCAGAAGTGTAGACAAAGTTTAAATTTGCTTCCCCAAGGATGATGACAAAACCAGCTGAGATGGGCTGGGACCCAGCAGTCCTGATGGGGAGGGAAGGCTGCTGGAGATGAAAGGCAATGCAAGCAGTGCCCAGCCTTCTGCTCTGTGTGTTTCTCCTCCTCCACACTGCTCTTGCCAAAAAAAGAAGGGCAGAGGTACAGAGGAGGCCCAGGCACAGAGAGAAAGTGGTCCCCCACCAGTGACAAGCTCATTGTACCCTGAATTGACTGAAGATGATGGTATTTAAGGGAGCTGACTCAATGCTGGGGCAATATTTCTGACCCATCATTCTGCTGTCACAGGCACTGCCTTTAAACTTTAGAGCCACTCCACAGTTTGTCTGCAGTCTGGAATTTCCGTATATTGAGGGGCTAAAGTTTACACACGTTATAAACACTTCCTTTAAATGGTTTGTGAGCCCTCACTTGTTCTGGCAGTGAAAGAACAATGTTTGTAAAAAAAATGTCTAAGTGTTCCATGTTGTAAATAGTCAGTAAACACAGTTAGTTGGTCTCTCACATACTTCTCAGAGCCTGCTTGCTCTAAAAAGAAGACACAACAGGATAGCAGCACTCCAGCATATGATCATAACACAAATAAATACGATTTAAGACTCCCACTGCAAAAAAAAACCTGCTAAAATCCAGTGGAGAATCAGAACTTTTAAAAGAATGGCCATACACTGACAAAATTATTACTGTAAAACACAATGATTTTTGAGTTGAAGGTAAAATTCCAGTGAAATGCTTTAAATCCACTCTAAGTTCTGAACAAAGTAATCAGTGGTGTCAGTGACACCAGAGACACAGGAGCCAAGGGTCTGCTGCAGGGATCTCCACTGATTTTCACAGGAATTTGGATCAACCTCCAAAGAAGTAAGAAAACACACAAGAAAAAAAAAAGCCTCAAATAAAACCCCCAGCTTCTGAATACCACAGGAAAGCAAGTCTGAGGTAACTTCTTTGATCATACTCACAGGAAGGCAATCAGAGGAAATATTCTGAGCTTTTCAGTAACAAACCAGCTGCTTGATGAATCAAAATGATGACTCCAGAAAAACGAGGTGAACGCTATACAAAAATAGAAAAAAAAAGAACCTTATTTAGCAAAGGCACAATTACTCTGCATTCTTGATTTTTCTTTGGTAAAGTCTTCTTTAATGACACTCCTAGAAAGCCAGGGGTTTTTTAGGTATGAAATAAAACTTTAAAAGTTTTAAGACATCAAGAAACCCACTGCCAAAAGCTCTAGAAATTAGAATTTGACAAAGGAGATGTTGATTTCCCAAGATCTCTTAACCAAGTCAGTCACCAAAACATCTTTACGTCTGATACAGACTCCTGTTGTTAGAACAAGGTGAAACACACTGTCTGACCAGCAGTGAATTTTCTCAGCAAAACCAGGTTTCCAGCACACCCCCCTAAGGATACAGGATATTCCCTGCAGTATAAAACATGTTCAAAAGAGTACTCTGCAAAAGCAGATGAACAGTAAGATGGCAGTCTGTAGATGATACAAAACTATTCAGTTTAATCAAACTTAAAAGGCAGTATTGCGAACTGGGGAAAAAGTTCATAGCAATGAATTTCTACAGGCAAAATTCATGAATCCATTTTTCAGAAGTAAAAGTACAGGAGGGACAAAAGAAACCCTGAGATCATTATACAAACAGCAATCAACTCTAAACAAGCCAGTGACACTCAAAACTTCTTGGAAGGTGAGGAAGAGTCCTCTGAGAATATTAGGTGGCCCCTGAAAGGGTTGTCATGCTTTTGAATGGACTTCCCACCCTGAACAATCCCTGGGTGACCTGGTAGAAACCCACCACGGGCACCAGGAAATGCAGAAAGAACAAACTTCAGTGAACTGGGGTATTTTTCCTTCTGCATTCAGCTGCTTCTTTGGTAGTATACAAACACACCAGAGTAAAAATAAAAACTGCAAGCTTTATTCAGAGAGCCTCTAGTGGTCTGTTCTCTTCAGAACCAAGGACATTCATGTTGAACATCTGCTGCCAGCAGAGGAAATGGATTATTTAAAAACCAACCTGTTTCCAGTCATTTTAAGGTAATAGCATGGGGTTGGTACTTGCATTCATTTCTGGTTATTCACTGGAAACTCGGACTTTTGAGGACTCAATACAAATGACTGTTCTGTAATTTCAACAACAATTTTACAGTCTGGTCTCTAGGTTTTAAGACACCTGTCACTGACTCACATAACTGCAAATACTGGGGTGGCCAAAGGCAGGAGTTTGATCCAATGTATTGGGAGTTTCAGTACTAGATTCAAGAGATCTCAACCCCAATTTTATGCTGAGCATTACTGTGCATATTTAGAAAAAAGAACAATCTAAGAAAACCACCCTGATTTTCAGGGTACAAAAATAACAAAAAGAACTTTAAATCATCTTCTTCCTCTCCCTGGTTACACCTGCTAACAGCAAGAGCAGTCCAGAGCTTCAATCATGAATAACATGGCCCTTCCAGGTCACTGAATTAATTCCAACTTTTCCACTAAATTGAAAATCTTACTTTGCTCATTTCTATGGCTTAGTTGTGCCCCATTTGACTCTCAGCAGGAATAACTTCAAGACATTCAGATCATGCTTTTGGAGAGTCCTGCGTCCAAAAGCCCTTTTCTGCTTCAGACCATTTGTTCTCTTGCAATCCCTTCAAGATTTCTAAAACTGAGACAACCCCCAAAAACATTTTGATTTTCTTTCCCACAGTCATGAAGACATTTTCTGCTGCTCTCCTTGTATCTGCTCTGTTCTAAATCAACACTTTTCTGAATCAAGTTCAACATAACTTGTGATATCAATAAAACGACTGAAATATTCTCTCACAGTGCTTGCCTTCCAAAAGAGCTTCTCTCTCACCACAATTCCATTTTAAGCTGGCTATGAAGAGTTACAAACTATTTAACAAACAGGTAACTTCCATACAACTTAAGCACGAAGGAAGTTCAGGCCCAGGTCAAAAACCAGACTCCATAAATCCAAACCCTCCAATCCAATAAACATCCCTCAGGTTTGGACACACTTTGGGCTGTAATCTTCAGTGGTAAAATTGGCACCATTTTTACTGATTCTTCAGTCCTTCGAATTCCCCTGACCATAATCTTTGGGTTCATGTTCTGCTCTCATTTGTGCAATGGCATTAAAAACACCCCAGACCTTGGCACACACCCAGCACTGCACATTCAACACTCAATTTCCAGCTAACAGGGGCACTAGATTCCCAGTTAACAGAGGACAGTAGCCATTAAACACAACTTTAGTAACTGAGATGCTTTTAACAGAAGTTCTTAAAAGTGCTTGACCAGAAGTACTTTGTGGCTTAAGAAGTTCAGGAGTTGCTGCTCTCTTGATTATAGAAACTAGAGAAAACAAATCACATCCAAGGTCATTCAGCAGCTGACCTGTAACATTTAAATGTGGTTGGGGAGGGCCATTAAAAATATATGCATACACACACAAAGAAAAGCATGGTTTCACTCCCCTCTGCTCTGTTAATGAATTTGGTTCCTTACACCTGGTAGATTTGAATGGAAATAAAGTTATGGGGTCCAGTTATCAAACTCTGTGTTGCAGGTATTGCATTTTATCCAAGAGATCCCAGCAGTGATCAATATCAGATGTTCAGAGTAGAACATAGGGACAGGGAAAGGATATAATGGTGCTTCCCGCAAATACTCTACAGCAGCTTGTGACTTCCAGAATGCCTGAGTCAAAGGTGGAATCCATATATTTACTGATCTCCATGGCAGCCTTTTTCCATTAGGTTCAGCAGCTGCCAACACTGAGAAAAAATCCTGTGACAGAATCCTCACTCACCTAGTGCACAGTTAGCTCTGGTGTGCACACAAAGTATTCAGCATTGCTTCCCATACAATGGAGCAATCCCAAACCTGACAGCAAGGTGTTTAAAAAGCTGTCTTGGAAATAGCACACCTGGGTTTCAGTCCTACTCACATATGTAACCACTTAGGAAAATGAAATTAAATCACTAGGAGAGAGTGGGAAATTGAATAGTTGAAAAGCGCATTTGAGCATTCTTTGTGACAAAAGAGGTAACTCAGCCTACCTGCTGCACTCTGAGTTAGTAACTTGCGAGACAAAAGGACTTTTCCTCTAGTCTGTAAAAATAGCAAATATTTCACAGAATCACAGAACAGCTGAGGTTAGATGACACCTCTGGAGATCACCTAGTCCAATTCCCTGCTCCAAGCAGGCTGCCCCAGCACCATGTCCAGCTGGGGCTTTGTTTAGCTCTGGTGTGCACACAAAGTATTCAGCATTGCTTCCCATACAATGGAGCAATCCCAAACCTGACAGCAAGGTGGTTAAAAAGCTGTCTTCACAGCCACCTGTGTCAAGGCTGTGAGCAGTCACAAGATTTTGTTATCATTCCATTCCTGTCCTTTCTAGCTTTCTGATGGAAATTTCTCTCTAATCTTTTTAGTATAGTTTTAATATAGCATTTTAATATAATATAACCTCATAATATAATAAATCAGCCTTCTGAAACACAGAGTCACAATTCTCATCTCTTCCCTTGTCCTGGGACCCTCGAACACAACCATAGAGTTTGAGTATTTCCAAGGGTGGAGACACCACAGCTTCTCCTGGAAATCTGTTCCAGTGTTGATCTCTCACAGTAATAGTTCTTCCCTACATCTAAATGGATTTTTTTTTTTTTTTAATTTGAATTTTTTGCCTTTTCCTCCTATGCTTTCACTGGCACCTTTAAGAAGACTCTGGTTTGGTTGGTTTTTTGTCATCTGTCCCCACTCCCATGGTGACACAGTCACAGTGTGTGACAGCCATAGAGTGTTAAGCTTGAATCTCACCCTGGTGACAGCTAGGATTTTTTATCCATAGACTTCAATATGGGCTAATGTGTAAATTATTTCTTTTCCCTCAAGTCATGAAAATGACAACAGCAAACCACCTTTTTTAAAAAAAGTAATCTAGGTGAAATATTTCTTTGAATACCCACTTCTTCCAGACCTTTTGATTTTTGTCACTGTTGTCATGTAATTTATTTACCTGGTAAGACATTACAGAGGGAGCAATTACAACTTTTCCTTGGACATGTGCAAGAAGACATTTAAATGTGGTTGGGGAGGGCCATTAAAAATATATGCATACACACACAAAGAAAAGCATGGTTTCACTCCCCTCTGCTCTGTTAATGAATTTGGTTCCTTACACCTGGTAGATTTGAATGGAAATAAAGTTATGGGGTCCAGTTATCAAACTCTGTGTTGCAGGTATTGCATTTTATCCAAGAGATCCCAGCAGTGATCAATATCAGATGTTCAGAGTAGAACATAGGGACAGGGAAAGGATATAATGGTGCTTCCCGCAAATACTCTACAGCAGCTTGTGACTTCCAGAATGCCTGAGTCAAAGGTGGAATCCATATATTTACTGATCTCCATGGCAGCCTTTTTCCATTAGGTTCAGCAGCTGCCAACACTGAGAAAAAATCCTGTGACAGAATCCTCACTCACCTAGTGCACAGTTAGCTCTGGTGTGCACACAAAGTATTCAGCATTGCTTCCCATACAATGGAGCAATCCCAAACCTGACAGCAAGGTGGTTAAAAAGCTGTCTTCACAGCCACCTGTGTCAAGGCTGTGAGCAGTCACAAGATTTTGTTATCATTCCATTCCTGTCCTTTCTAGCTTTCTGATGGATTTTTCTCTCTATTCTTTTTAGTATAGTTTTAATATAGCATTTTAATATAATATAACCTCATAATATAATAAATCAGCCTTCTGAAACACAGAGTCACAATTCTCATCTCTTCCCTTGTCCTGGGACCCTCGGACACAACCATAGAGTTTGATATTTCCAAGGGTGGAGACACCACAGCTTCTCCTGGAAACCTGTTCCAGTGTTGATCTCTCACAGTAATAAAGTTCTTCCCTACATCTAAATGGATTTTTTTTTTTTTAATTGCAATTTCTGTCCTTTTCCTCCTATGCTTTCACTGGCACCTTTAAGAAGACTCTGGTTTGGTTGGTTTTTTGTCATCTGTCCCCACTCCCATGGTGACAC